TCTCCCACCCCCGATAGTCATTTGATCTTGTTTTAAATCTTCGTTTAGCTTTAGTCAGGGCCCCTTGAAGGATGCACCAAACCTGATCTGTACTCCACACGCAGCCTGGTATAGTGAACAAGCCTCAATTGAGATGCGGGAGGAAGCAGCACGAGAGATCCGAAGGGCGATCACAGGTACTGACTCACCTTATGGGCTCCTTCACTGCCTGTTTCCTTTTAATAAACTTTTTCGTTCTTCAGTCTTGAGAGATGCTGGAAAGAACCAGCCTTAGGTTTTGTTTACCACTTCTAATGTTTGGAACATAGAAACAAGTGAATACTCAGCAAATTTGTTCTCAGAAGTGGAACAAATAGATTTGGAGGTTCATTGCAATTACAGAGAAGGCAGGCACTGCAAAAGATATATATATATATATAACAGAAATGTACTTATATGTGAAAAATCAAAAAAATCTGCTTTTTTGTGGTGTTGTTGCTTGTAAATATTACCCGTTTGATGGATTTGACTGCACGTCATCCAGATATTGCTGGTGTCTTTCATAGGTTTTCCGAGGTACCCCCTTACACTTGTCATGGGCAGTTCAGTTTCCTTTATTCTTTTCTCTCCGGCTCCTTTGTATTTTCCAAAATTCATCCAAATTTGTCTTAGAGGACAGTCTGGAATTTCAGTGTCTTTAAGGCTGTAGTGTTCAGATAAAGCATCTAGAGCTTCATGCTGTTGCTGGTAATCCTCATACCTTGACAACTCATTCTCTATGTCAAAACAAAGTTTTCAGTATTTTGTTGGGAGGATACTGTGTTGTAGATGTTCTTGTCTTTAAAGCATTGCTAAAGAAATCTGGCATTTTAACGAGCAAAGTCTCTTTGTTATATAACTACCATGTAATTGTAAACTGTTCACATAAGAGAAAACAGTTATGTCTTGAACATGCTCTGCTAATAAATAAAATGAGAAGAGTGAGCGATTTGGCATTGGTTTGAATCCCTTGTAGCCTAAAATAAAAGGGAGGATTTTCATACTGGAAAATGATTCATTAAGCACTAATGTTCTCTCTTCAGTAGGACTTTGCTGTTTCCCCCTTGGCAATATAGACTGAATGCTCTGCAGACATGAAGGGCCATCTGTGTCACCTTGAGAGTAGCTCAGTGCCAACACATTGCTTGGCTACACAAAAAGCACTCGCCTTTCCTTGCCTCGTGCCTAGAGAGGCTGGGCAATTTAGTTTCATTTATAGCCTGTGCAGAAAGAAGATTCTCCTCTGGATGGTGATTAAAGGCACCTCTTAAACTCCTGATCTGAATTGCCCTTCACAAGACTATTTCTCTTTGTTTTAGAGATACCTTAAGGAGTCTGACTATCCCTTTGCTGGAATTGGTCCTTGTGCTTACACTCCAGAAGAACCCTAATAGTACATTCATTAAGTTGTTGTATAACCATTACCTGCTCCCAAATAGCTCCGGGAGTGATTGCACAAACCAGCATACGATAACCTACTTGGGGGATGATTGATGTGCAAATAATAGGCTAAGATCTGAAAACTGAGTAAGGGTCAGCTATGTGGAGCTAGCTTTATGTTAAATATTGTGCAATAGCCCAAACATGTGTGCCTGGGACAACAGACCTATATTTTCTTAGTGTGTGTGTGATTGTGCTGTCAGCGATCTAAATCATTGACTTGTATTGAAGCTGTCAGCACTTCAGTGTTTGCACATGGTTTGTAGTAAGATCAAACTGAGGCCAACCTTAGGGAGGTGAGAATGACACTGAATTGCGGTGAAACAAATGTAGGAAAGATGCAGGAAATGTGGGATCAAGCTGGATATGTGAAAGCCGTAGGGGAACACAGAGGAGAGAGGGTGTAGAGAGGGAAAGTAATTGGAAAAAGGTGTACAGTGAAAGAGTGCAGGCTATGACTACCATCTGATGATAAGGATGTTAAGTCATTCCGCTGTTACCAGAAAGTCAGTGGTGGTCTGGTTGGTAAAATAAAAATAGTAAGCAGAGATTAAATATCTTTAAATTTATTTTTAAACATAAAACCATCTGAAGTCTTAAATAAGGAGAACCACTGAAAACAATAGATGGAAGGGATGGGAAGGGGAGCATGGCAAGTGAAAAGATGATTATAAGTTTTAAATAAATAAATACTGTTTTGTAAGGGGAAATGAGTAGAACATGCCTACAGAAGCTAACAAACTGAAGAATGAGGGGCATGGAGGAAGACGTGATTGCAGTTTAAAAGTGTTTCAAAAGGATAAACATCAGAAGAAAGATACTGTTTAAATTTATGGACAATTTTGGCAGAAGTTTACAGATGGATGTGGTGTTGTTGCTTGTAAATATTACCCGTTTGATGGATTTATTTCAACTAAATTTAGAAGATGATTTCTAAGTAGGAGGCGGGTAGGAATTCACCCCTGGTGGGGCGTGTACCTCATCTTGTCCGGCACTGAACTAAGAAGCTCTTTTGGCTTGTGCCTGGGAGATGTGGGACATCTTAGTGACGTAAGTGCAAGTCATGGAGTAGCAAGTATTTGATGGTATCCACTAGACAAAAACCAGTTCTGTGCAGAGGCATTTTTACAGCCCCATTGTGGCCAGGCTGATGGACAGAAAGAGCAGGCAAAGAGCAGTGAAGTCCTTAATCATACTTCTAGTAGAAAGCTGGAGACAAAAAGCCTGAACAAGGAGCTGCTCCTTTAATGATGGAGCATGGTCAGTTTTTGACAGTGTTTCTGGAGCGCTAATGCCAACAGTAGCAGGGGTAGACTGGAACTTACCTCTTTCTACCTCTGTGTGTGCACATGGACAGTAAGATTAAATTTCAGAAAAGATATGTTGAAACTGGTGTCAGAAAAAACACAGGCTCTGATTGATCTTCTGTTGAAATAGGTGGAAATGTTCCTGTTGCCATGAAGAAAATGTCTGTTGTATCTGTTTGTGTAATTTTTTGCTGGGCTGCAGACAGTTCAGCAGAACGCAGTCAGAGGCTTGTCCAGTATGTGCTGAATCAGGTTGGCAGATTTTCCGGTGTCTGCATCTTGAAACTTCAGTTATACTTCAGAGGTTAAGCGAAAGGTTTGAAGAAATGAAGAAGGGAGTTTTCTGGTGTATTTTCATTTTTCGTAGGAATAAGAGGTAGCTGAGGATTAATACATTGTAGTAAATAAATGTGAAGAGCAATTCAGATAAAGAAGGGGAAGGTCAGGAGGACAGGAAAAAAGTGTCAGTCATATTCAGGTTTACGGCAAAATTCTGTTTGGAATCCTACATTCTTCAGTAAGTGGTTTTATTGCTGTTACAGGTGGAGGGAGGAGGAGGAAAGTGACGTTAAAAGAAGAGAGTAGGAGGCTACATTACTGAATTTGAGTGACAGCCGTGCTCTGTGTTCAAGTTTTAGCTTCTTCGAAAGCATGAATCTTGTTGATTATGGTTTTCTTAAACCCTGTATACAACAGACAGAGAAATAAAAATCATGCAGAGCATGTTAACCGTTACTAACTAAGTCCCAGACAAAAGGGGAACAGTGAGGATAAAAAATAAGCTCTTAGTGTGATTCTGTGTATTGATTTAAGTATGCAAATATTTACAGTTTTTTTTTAACATAGACACATTAAGAGGATAAGGCAAACCATTTTTATGGTTTTTTTTCCTCCCTCTCTCACTTCATCCTAGGTCGTATTCCAGACAGTCTGAAAAACTGTGTTAACAAAGATCATTTGACTGCAGCTACACATTGGGCCAGCATGGATCCTGGTGTTGTCCATCCAGAGCTTAATGGTGCTGCATACAGGTAAGCATTTTGCGGGTGTGAACGAAATACCTCCTTAATTCAGAGGTAGGTTTTCAAGAATAAATAAAAGACTTTCTTACTAATAAATGAAGTGGTTTTGGATTAAGGCCCAGGTATGTTGTTTTCATAATTGGTTGCATTCAGGAGAATAATCTTGTTTTACTAGTTGAAGTCAGTCATGCAGTGCATAAATATGTTTCCTTTTCTTATCTTTTTTTGTGTGGTTAGTAATGTCTGAACAATATGGAGTTTTTTGTATATTCAAGTAAAACAACTCTGGTCATCTCCAGTGAGTGCAGTGGCAGTTTATGTTCCTTTTGCTGAAGGTAGTGATGCAGCAGTAGGTTACAGAGAGACTTTCAGTAATAAACTATTGTTAGGTGGTTTTGTGGCCTCCAGACAAAAGAGAACAAATAACTCAGTTGTGAATACAGGGGAATAGCCTGGGGTGATTATGAAAATGTTTAAAATAGTGTTTTCTAAATTATATGTTTAATTTTTAAGCAAAGGCATTTGAGGGACGTGATCTATGTATTCTCAATCAACTGTGAAAGCAGCTCTTAATAATTAATAGAAAGGGGCATTTTTTTTATATCTAATATGTATGCTCCTTAGTTACTTTGTTTGCTTGGAAGTCTTTCTCTGTCCCTTTATCCCTAGCAGCTGTTCTAGCAGCAGATTTTTCCTAGTAGCCAGCTTCACACAATTTTTATTTATGAAAAAGTCTGCGATTTTTTATCTTCCAATATGCTATTTACTCTTAAGTAGGATGAAAGTGGCTGAGAAGGTTACAAACAGCTGCTTCCCTCAGTGCCTTGAGGGAAGGGACAGTGCAGTCCTTTCATTATTTTTTTTAATACCTCTTTGTCCTAATCTTTCCGCTGTCCTCCTTCATACATCTCTTATCTGTGTCCTTCTTTAGAAGGGCTACCCCGTACTTTTAACTGATACAGGATTTAGTGCGTGTTACCCCATATGAGAAGCCAGTTGTGTGCTGCTGGGAAGTGAAGCAAAGCTCTCGTGTCCCAGTGGCTTCTAACAGCCTCATCAGAAAGTGAGGGAGAGATGGCAGAGGGGTGTGTCACCCCCTGCTGCCATGATCTCCTTAGCAGAAGCCGTAAGTGCACCGAAGGAAGAGAGTAACTTTGATTTGATCAACATGCCTGTATCTCACATCATGTTGAGATGTTTAATTTTGGGAAAGGTACCCATAGCCCTAAATACCTGGAGAAGGGTGGTTCTGTTTGCTTACATGAAAAGTTCAAGCACATGTGGTGTTCTCCTGCACACAGCGTGTGGTTTCATTGACTTCAGCTGGGCGTACTGGGGTAGAGCTGAATGCAATTGAGGCTTAAAGGCAGGTGTTGCTGAGCAGGGGGCAATAACTTCAACCCTGTCATGGCAGTTAGGAAGTGTTGCGTGCCCAAATAAAATGCAGTTGTTTGTTCTCATTTTGGGGGTCACAAGTCCGGCAGAAGCAGGCTTCACAACTAGAAAAGGAGTTTAACTTAGGAATGTTCTGGGAGTTAATGTTTTACAAGGTAAAGACCATGTGTATTTAATTTAAGCAGGATAAACACAGAACTGAATGCCTTTTTTAGACATAGTTTCAGTCAGCTTTTTCAATAAAGGAAATTAATTGTAAATAAATTCTGACTTCACAGTTATTTTCAAATGCAAAATAAAACTCATTTGGGGAATTTTGAGGGAGAAGTTAAGCGTCATACAACAAATATTAAAAGCTTCTTTTTGGAGGGGTGATAGAATAGTGCTTGAGTGTGGGTGAAGGCAGTTACTATTTTATGCAGTATAAAATATGTGGAACTTGAAGCTCAGGCTTTATGAAGAAATCTGTTTCAGAAGCAGTGTTTGCTGATGCTTAATTCCTACCTGGATTAAGTACAGAATTTGAATTGATTGTTCAAAACAAATTAGGGTGTCTTTTCTTTGCACTCCAAGATTATGTTCAACTAACTGAGTTCTGGAGCCTTTCACAGGCAGTAGGATGTTTCAGATGTGCTAATAACTGTACCATAGTCATTTAATTGCATTAGAAGATAAGACCTGGGATAATAATTTATATGTTAAAAAATGCAAATAGCTCTTTCGGTGAACTAAAACCAACAAGGCTATTTTATTCTGGATATATCATTTACTTGTAATTTGATGTGGGACAGAACTCTTTAAATTATCAGGTATTATCACGAGCAAAGAACATTGAGCATTCATCAGCAGAATATAATCTAGATTTTATAGATTTTATCACTGTATTCTGTGGAAAACAAAACCATTTAGTATGTGAAATGCAAGACGCCCTATCAACACAAAAGGCCAAGCAAATGGGACCTATCCCCTGAGTAAAGATTAATGATATTCCTGAGAAGGAACTATTTGTAGTAGTCTTGGTGAAGCAGCATAAAATGTCCTGGTTTTGTGTTATTACTGTGTATTCGTTACTGAGCTGCCTCTTGAATAACCTTGTGCCATTTCCTCTGTCACAGAGCATGCAGGTTATAGGCAAAGTGAAATTCGACAGCCAGTAAACACTGATTGTGCAATTTTAGACGTGTTGACATGTCTTTCTGCCTTCTGACAGGTAGATGATGAGAATATCCAGATACTGAAGAGATACTTGAATGGGAATAGTTAGATGTCGGTAATTCAGGAGTTATTTCATGTTGATGTATTTCACCGGTGATTTTTCAGGCTCTGTAATGTAAGATAAAAGCATGCACTTAAATTTTTTTTTAAGCTTTTTTGGGACAGACTCTGTTTCTGAACAGAGCTTAACATAGTGAGTTCAAGGTGCTTCTGTAGTTTAAAGATACAGGAGAATAACATAGAAATTAAAGTTTCCTTTCATTTGTAGTTAAGATGACTACTGTATTTTTCTTTGTAAATTGAGACTATGTGATGGAAGGGGAAAGAAGAGTATGAAGTGGCAGTGGAGGTGTAACGGTCTCTTGCTTCTGCTTTCACAAAAATTAATTCAGTGGACATTTTACCTGGAAAACTTTTCAACTTACTGCTGCCAGAGGAGGAAGATGGGGAGCAACTTTATGAAGTGCTGGAGGGAAAGTATTGGCTGGTTAAGAAGAGAAAAGCAATAAATAGCGACATAAGGGAAGGTTACGTAGGATAGAAATACCCGTGTGTAGAGGCTGTTGACTTTATGTGCCCCCCTTTCAGAGACAGGATTTGAACAACACTGATGATTAAATTGAAAAGGGACAAAAATTACAAAAAGAAAATGGCAAAATAGGCTTAGGAGTTGTCAAGCAAAATACAGTTTCTGTAGAGGGCTGTGTTATCTGCGTTTTGGCTACTGCTGCTGTGTAGCTTCGGGACAAGAAAAACAATTGTAGGGCTTTTGGATGTTACTAAAAGACTGTAGGAAGCCTGTGTCTGAGGAGAGGTGCTGGCAGGTAGAACCCCAGTTATAACTTGGTGTCCAAGGGGAATATTTTTATATACAGAAAGAATATTTGGAGTCAAAGGAGAATTACAGATGTGTAGTTTGGACTGCTTAATGTGCTCATAAGGTAACTGCTAATGCTCCTGATCCAGCATCGTCTATTTTCATGAGGGGAGGCTCCAGCTTTCCTTCCTGAGGGAAACACAGTTGCAGAATTTGCTCTTTCCTTGATTTCTCCCAGCTCTGCTGTGTTGATGCTTGGGGAATAATATAGTGTTAGAAAGTAGAGATTCTGTGTTGGAAACGGTTGCTATGTTGGGCTTTTAAATGGAAGGTTTTGTCACTTGATGTTGTGTTTTTTACAAAGCACCTAGAGTAACAGATAAGCTGCTTCACAATTAAATTTGAATAAATAAACCAATATCCAGCCTGACAGTTTTCATAGGAATTGAAGCGAATTTGGTTAATATTCAAATAGAGATACTGAAACAAGCAACTAATTCCATTAGCAACTGCAAATTAATTCGAAGGAACCTCTCTGGAGAAGGCATTAGCATAGGAAGCCCTGTAAATATGTGTACAATTGGGAACAAGTTCACTGGCCTACAGGTGGTGTGATCTTTCACATACTGGTTATCCATCCCGGATTACAGTCAGTGTTACGATCTGCAGGACTGTTTCCCAGGATGACCGGGCCAGTGTATGATGCCTTCATCGTCGCTGTGCCGTGTCGGATAGCCGTGCTGAGCCCCTCTGGCACGGTGTTTGCAAAAAGCAGTTCCCACGATGTTTCTGTGGTGGAAGAAAAAAGGACAAATAAACGTGCTTTCCTCTAGCTTTTTTCCTCCTCTGAGCTTTGCATGAGTTCTGCACTAGTTTTCTCTCAGTTTGAGGGAACTTAGGATGAGCAGCACAAACATGCATTACTTTAGAAAAGATGCTGCTGAAACGGGCTGAAACTCCCTGATGCATTCAGCATTGAACTCTGATGAGAAGAAAAGAAACAGTAGAATAATGTGATATTTGGAAAAGCTTGACAAGACTCCAAGTATTCTTTCTCCCATTTCGTCCCAAGTAAATACTAGGGTAGCCAGTGCCACAGCGAGCAAGTGGTTGGTTTGTGTGTTTAGGCCTTTAAATGGGTAACGCTCTCGCTAGGACGCTTGGGTGAGCAGAATATAGCAGGAGAGAACAAGGGGTGAGTGTGCGCCTTCATGATGGGGAGGGGAGGCAAAGGGCCGGTGTTAAGTGGCCACCGTGAGAACTTGCAGAGGGGTACTGAGGTATTTCGCTAAAAAGAAAACAAATTTTTGTTAGAAATGTTTGTGTTAGCTGTTGTTTGTATACAGCACTGTGAAATACCATTGTTCGCCAGTTACATCTGAACTGTGGGATTGAAACAGCAGATTGCCAAGATGGTTTTTTTCTAGCCTGATAATATCAGACCATCATAAAAGCAAGCTGGATCGGAGAGATATTTTTTTGTTGTTGAATTTGTAAAATATTTAGGCCTTGGTGTTTGTCCACATAGAGTAAGAAATCTTTAAAACCATGTGTCGTGTTTTGTGTTTCCATCTCTCTTGCAGTCTGCCCAAAGCACTTGCCCTCTGTATAACTGCTTCTCTCTCAGACAAGTACAGTAGCAAGTCTGATGCTGAAAAAGTTACTCGGGTGCAGTAGGCTTGAATTTGTCATCTTAAGAGTGTGTGGGTATGATTGCTCTTTTGGGGAGCTATCAGAAAGCTACGACTGCAAGATGAGTTGAAAGAAATACTTTTTTCGAACCACAACAATGAAATTTAAAAAATTTCTACATGAGAATGAAAGAGAAAAAAAATGCCCAAAGGTCAGCTTGAGAAGTCAGAGAGAACAGAGAGGTACTGCACGGACCTGGCCTGAGTTACTTCTTGTTGAGGCGTGATTTGAGAGGAGCAATGCTTCCAGGTTGTTTCCTTTGCTATGCTGTCACTCATGCTCTTAAATCTGAAATCTGAAGAAACAGTCTAGCAAACCTTTATTTCTCATTTGGGTAAAATACAGCATCTGGTGCTTTATTTAGCAGCATCTAAACGTTGCATTACGGCAACGCCATCTGAGTGGTATCTCATCTGGAGCCTAACCAGCTGTCTTCATCACTGGTCAGAAAACAAAAGAAGCATCTCTGTAGTTCTAGGAGGAGGCACAGTGGGCTTTCTGGTCACTCATCCCTTGGTTTTAATGTCTGTTCTCATTTTCTTCTCTCAGCAGGTATCCCCCAGGCGTTGTAAGTGTGGCTTCAACTGGCATACCTGCAGCAGTAGAAGGAATAGTCCCCAACCCTATGTCTTTATCACACGGCCTCCCTGCTGTAGCCCACCCGCCCCATGCTCCTTCCCCCGGCCAAACTGTCAAACCAGAAGCTGATAGAGACCACCCAAGCGACCAATTGTAGCCTATGAAAACAGCATTCCCAACATCGGAGATTTCAACTTCAGCGCGTGGAAAACAAACAAACAAAAACAAAACAAAACCCTGGATTTTGATTAAAGGCAAAACCATGAACTTACAGGAGGAGACGATTATTGTTTTAGAAACTGGTCCAATATACAGTATAAAAGGAAAAGGTGGGAGACAAAAAGAAGATTTGGAAACATTTTTTCCTCCGTATAAATTGTAGTTTGTCCCTGTCCAGTGGACTGATTCACTGTTTCTGTGTCCTATGGGTTCTTTGTTAAGCAAGAGAAGTTAGTAGTTAATTATATCATGAATGTACTTGTCTGTGTACAGTTTTTAGAACATTAAAAAGGGTTTGTTTGCTTAGCTGTCAACAAGGAAAAACATAAGGGAGGCATTCAACAAACCAATTTTGAGATTAAAAATCCTTTCTTTTATATTTTGAAACATGCCCAAAAATGAGGCAGTTGGCAAACTTCTCAGGACAATGAATTTTTCCCATTTTTCTTTCTACGCCACACAGTGCATTGTTTTTTCTACCTGCTTGTCTTATTTTTTAGAATAATTTAGTAAACAAAAGAAAAACAGTTTGTCCTAATTTTGGCGTGAATTCCCTTATTTCAAAATGAAGACAACCTTGCAAAGAGATTTTGAGGAAAAAGAAAAAAGGTTTTGTATAAACGAGCATTGTGCTTTTTGTCACCAGTTAAAGTATATATTATTGGTGGTATGCGAAAAAGGCACTAGACTACTGAAAAGTAGCAGCATTTCATTGCCTACATTGATTCCTTCCTGGTAATGTGGTAGGCTAGCAATATTTTTGGTTAAAATCATGTTTGTGACTGTAACCATTTGTATGAATTATTTTAAAGAAATAAAAATCCCAGACAAATATCATATGTGTAAAAATTTTTATTTCTAGTAACTGTTTATTCAACTTTTATTAGGTTTCTTAGCTGTAATTTTTAAACAGATGCTGTCAAGTATTTCATTTCTAGCTTTACTTTGCTCTCTGTTGTTTGTAATACTGTCTTGGAAGCTTGAAAAATAAAAAAAAAATAATTCTTTCCATACCATTTTTCCCTTTACATTTCGTAAATGTTGATCTTTTTTCCTGTGTTTCTAATGGAGTTTGAAATTAAGATGGATTTTGATTTGTACACCGGCGTCATCAGCTACAATATGGTAACAGCATTTATGCCACCACTGTGGGCAGAGCAGAGGAGGTACAACAGCAACACAACAATAATAATAATAAACGTCTTTTGCCGAAGTCCAACGTGAGAAGTGTCCATTGTTTTATTTGCTCTTGTGGCGATGGAAGTGTAGCAGCAGGACGTAACTGTATGTGCTGTATTGAAGGAGTTTGTTCCTTTGGGCGCAGGCAGAAGTGTTCTCACGGCAGGTTGGATCTCAGCTGGAAGCTGCTTTGGCCTTTTGCTCCTGGATAAGATGTCCTCCATCCCTGTGCAGTTTAAAAAAGCAAGACAAAAGTTTAGCTGCTGCCAGAAGGAAAACCAGGATGGGCAAAAGTGAACCTGGACGTAAACCTCCTCTGTGGTCTCTTGTCTATTTGTTCACTATTAAGCGGAACTAGTAACTGTGCACCGGAGGTTAGTGAGCTGGTTTTATGGGATCTGTGCAAAGTCTCCCCACTTCTGCTAGGAGGCTGCAAATCAAAAAAGACTTGAAACTTGCGGGCCTGTACCTAAGGAGCACTATATAAAGTGAAATTTTGTCTCTGTGGAAGAGTGGAAGGTTTTTGCCTTGAGCGTTTAGAGCCAAAAGTGTTATCCATTACAGTTTATTTGATGGTAAAACCATCCCTGTTCCCCCCCCCTGTGAAACAAAACAGAAAACAGCCCTAAAGCTGCAGGTTATCCTAGCAAAGACACTTCTAAGTTTTGTGGCTAAAAACTTGCAAAAACCCAACTGTGGTCTCCTGCAGTTGAAGTAGGATTTCATATTTCATTGGTAATACATGTTTTAAGATGCTGCTTTGTCAGGCTGAAGATGCTGCTTTAACATATGTAAACCAAACATTTAACATCTGGCTGCAAAGAATCGCTGACAGTCTCATTTGCAACCAAATTTCCCGAGGAAAACCAAGGCTTTTTCCTTCTGTTACATCAGTTTGGATGTGGCTTATGTACGTAAGCTTCGTTTCCCATGAATCAATAAACTGGTGAACTAGAGATGAAGGCACCAGCATTTATTGCGTGCAGTTCCCTGGCTCTGTTCTGAAGCTTGCTCTCCTTCAGCCGCCTGTTTTTGAGCCGTGATCTGTGCTTGCTCAGGCACAACCTCCTTCAGGATTTGAGGCTGAAGTACTGCACTGCTGGGTGCGACAGACACTGTGGTGGTGCTTGAAATACAGCTGCTGGTCTGACTGGTGGAGAGCGATCCCCTTTCCTGCTTCTGTTAGAGCAGGAAGGAAAAGCCACCCTGGCCATGACAAGACCAATGGGTACTGAGTTCTGGGTCACGGTCTGAAAAGCAGAATTAAAAAATCAGGAGGCAAAAAAAAAAAAAAGGCTTGGAGTAAATGACTAGTTGGAGAAGTGTACCGTAATAAACAAAAGCTGTTGTGGCAGACTAACCTTCTATGTTTTTGTGGGGTAGTGGAAATGTGATTAGATTTCCTCTGTCTGGTAAAGGATGTGCTAAATGAAGTTTAGACAGAAGAAAATTCAGTTAGTGGGAAAATACAAAGTGGGGAAGGCAGTGGCAGCAGAGGGCCACAGATGACCTCAGGCAGTGTGGAAAGGTGAAAGAGGAGGTAATCAAAGTTCCTGGGGTTTTTTTTAGTGGTGTTATTTGAATTGAGGGTCTGGGCCAAGGGGGCGGCCAACCGCTGAAACTGCTGCTGGCTCGAAAGCTGGAGGCACCGCCGGTGCGCAGGAGGCTCTGGAGCCTGCACAAGAATGTGATGGTATCAAAGAACAGGCTGTTAGAAGCAGAAAGATACCAGTTGTGCAGATGCAGAGTCAGGTAGTTGCAAGTCAAAACAAAAACTTGCCAGATAAAGGAGCCGTAAGCGATTTCCCAGGGTAGGACTGATTGATTACCACTGCGGGGTGGAAGAGCATGTCATACGATGGCGGATGCATCTGGCGCGGTGGTTTTGGTAGGGATGAGAATGGATCAGAGATGCTACATGGGACCTGAGGCGTTTGATGTATAGTTTTGATCACGCATTTCTGAAAGGGTGAGCTCGAGCTGAAGTCATAGCAAAGACTGGCTCTCAAAACAACGGAAGGTGTGGAGGGCTTATCATGTGAGAGGAAATGATAACAACTTGGTGTTTTCAGCTTAAAGTGAAGGCTGAGTTGGGGGAATTACTATAAATAGTAAATGCTGAGGAGAAAGGAGAAATATTAAATGCTGGAATAGGAACAGACAAGCATAAATGGGGGTTAGGAAAAGATCTCGGTCAGCAGAGAGGTCCTGGGACAGGTTTCCAGTTGTGGTGACTGGGAGTCAGTCCTGAAGTCCCTGCAGCTTGGGTTGAGTTTTCTTTTTGTTTTGTTGGGTTTAGTTTGATTTTGTTGAGTTTTTTTAATAACTTTGTTTTTACAATGCAAAATGTGAGAACATTGTTTAAAGGTCGTACAAGGTTGCTACCAAACCAACAACTAGAGAGGCCTTTTCCATTCAGGATAAAACACTTCAGCTTCCTTTATAACAAGCCTCAAGGCTTTTTCCTTCAGTATGTTGGGTTGGGGTTTGTTTGGTTTTTTTTTATTTGAGAAAATGCCTTCCTTATTTTTTTGTCCAGCCTTCCACCTCTAATGATTAAGGCTGGCTTTCCAAATGACTGGGACTGCTGTAGTCTGGCTGTTACCAGCTTACTTCTTGCCTCAGACCAAAGGGTTGTCTTCTCCTCGTTTAATCTCAGCACGTGCTTCAATAATGTCAGCTTGAAGGAGAAGGCAGCGCTGCAGTATTTCCTTTATTCGGTTCACTCCAACCTTTCTATCTTTTGTAAATTGGGAAGAAAAAAAAAAAAAGGAGAAAAGAGGGAAAAAAAAAGTCATTGATTTTAAGGGCAGAGAGTAATATTAGATCATTTTGTCTGCCCACTTAGTAAAGTTGTTAAATATGCGTCTTCATTAAACCTGATACCATGTTTTGACTCTTAAGTAAATCTTTCAGTAAGATTTCTAGTCTTTATATTAAAATGTCAAGTGATGGGGTTTTTGTTATTTCTTTTGATAGTTTGTGTAAGTGGGGGATAACCGTCACTGTAATTTTTAAACGGCTTTATTTAATTTGGCTTTCCCTGTCTCTGAGTTGCAGTTATTGTTTCATGTTGAACATGAGGTCATGTAGGCTGACTTGAATTTAGTGAGCATGTTACGTTTTAGCCAATTTTCCTTTGTACTGAGGTCAGTGACACATCTTCCAGGAAGACCAAACTGTGTTATTCATCTGTTTTCTTTCCCAGTTTCTTTCATTATACTGTACATCCTTTCCTTTGCGGCTCTGTATTTTTGTCCCTTTAAATGACACAGTCCAATATGGTTATCTTCTGCAGCTGAAATTACAGGATTTCTGATCTTTGAGACTTTCAGCTGTTGCCTTCTTGCCTCCATTGACTTTCCGATTTCCTTGGTAAACCATTCTCCTGCAAAGTCACAAGTGCTTGAAGAACTTGATTGATCCTCTCCTTGGTCTTCAAATTGCATTTGCCTAGGTAGAGCTGAGCACCTCATTAGTAGCGAAAGCTCCACGTTGAGTAGCTGCTCGACGCAGCGGTCCTGCTCTCGTGCTCAGAGTGCTCGCTTTCATCCCACCATCTGTCTGTGGCTAGCAGAATGCATCGTATCTGGGTCTCATGCCCGGTGTCAGGCTGTTTGTCCCTCAACATCTGCCTCCTGTCCTTCTTCCTTGTTTCCTTCTAGTGTTTGGGGGACCTGGAAAGTTACTTCTAGTATTCTTCCCTTTTTGGAAGAAATGTCCTTTGGTCAGTTCTGCTTTTCATCTGTGTTCCAGCTTGACGCAGACCAGTTGATTTTCAGCTCTCTTCTTAGCTGACCTCCATGCACGCTACCTCTCTAAACCTGTATCCAATATTCTATTTTTTATGTCCACTTTTGGGCTTGGGATTGCCCGGTTGGTCTTTTCTCCTCATCTGTAGTTTCCTTCCTACATATTCTGTACTACAGAAATTTGGCTCTTCAAGTCTAGTCTCAGCACTTTGCTTCGCCTTTGCATTTCTGCTCAGAGTCAGTGTTTTGTTGAGGGAGCATTGTTTGGTTTGGGGCTGTTGTGACACTGTGTCAAGGCTGCCATAAAACAGACTAAAGTATGGCCTTGAGATGATTAGAGGCATTTGAGACATTTCCAAGACGATGTAGCTCATTCTCAGAGCATGCCAATCCGTTGAAGACATTTGTTACTTGCACAGTCTAACTACATATCTATCCCCCTTCTTTCATGTGCTGCCTAACAAAGGATAAGCCGTTGCCGGTTGGAAGCATTGATGATCTGCTCAAGAAACAAAGTAAGGAAGTTAAAAACCCCCTACATTTAAATACTTGAATATGGTTTGAGTTGCAAAGACTTAAAGTAATAAAAAGGAGCAAAAATATTAGCTTAAATAGCCACGAGAACCTTTTTTACATATCAAGTTTGGTGTATTGGAAATAGACAATTACGTGTCCACTTGACAGTGCTATTTCTTTGTCTGTGCTGTGAAAGCAGAGTCGTTGTATAGTTTGGGAAAAGCTTATGGAGCTGGTCCTCCCTGGGTGAACCCTAAGAGTTAGGGCAGCAAATCAACATTGGAAAATACATCTCCTGAGGAGCTGACATCTCAGACTTGCAGTTCCGAACACCTCTAGCCATTTTCAAAATGACCCACCCAATGCAGTGGATTGAATTCTCAAGCCGGTTGCCTCCAGCACAGCTGTTGGCTTCACAGCATATTCCCCTTCCCGGGAACTCGGCGAGCAGCAGCACTTGCTCTTCAGCACATCTAACAGCATCAGAGTAAATCCCGTGTAAGTCTCTGTTGCTGTTTAGTAGGATTTTGGTTAAGCCCTCGTATAAAGTTAAGTCCGTGCTGTATTTT